GGGGCAAAGGGTCAATAGCTCTAAATTCATGCATAATCCAACATGTCTTAGTACTGCTTTCAGGTTTTCCCTTGTAGAATTGAAACGTCTTTCGAAATCCAACAATTTCACCATTTTCTTTGACGCTTTCATCTTCGTCTCCTTCTACTTGCCAATACCCATCAATTGTAGATACACTTATTTTCTCATTTTGGTATTTTATATCCCTTACCGTAAACAAGTACCAAACTTTCATTGTAGTCTGCCCATATTCATCTGTAATGAGAAAATTAAAAGAAAAATAATCTTCCTATATATAAAATTTGAGGGAAAAAAATAATACCAAGAAACAATTTTTGAAGATGGAAGAAGCATGAAAGGACTCACCAGCAAGTTTCTCGGGGTCGATCTCGTATATATTAGCGAGTTTAATCCAATGGAGAGGCATCTTCTGGTTCTTGATTTTGTTGATCAAGAACAATACAACAATTTGATTGTCAGTAGGGTGGAAAACAAAATCTGGCCCGGCTATCTTATAGAAATCATCATAATAAAGTTTTTCGTGCGAATAATCCTGAGGTCGATATTTTCTGATGGTTTTAGACTGCATCGTAAAATCCTAGATCTGGGAATCGGTTGTGAATGTGAACGAAAGCAAGAGATGAGAAAAAAAAAAAAAAAGGTTTCTGAGTTTTTATAGGGAGGAAGATTTGTGTTTGTGTGTAAACGTAAGCGTGACTTCTGGGTTAACGAAAACGAAAACGAAAACGAAACAAGAATATACTTTAATTAATTTAGAGGGAAAACTGCAAATTTAGTCCTCAATATGGATACTCATTAGCAAATGAGTCCAACAAACTATTTTTTTGGAATCGACTAATTTACTATTAAATGGACAACTTTTTAATAAAAAGTCAATATTACATTTATGTAGTTTGAAATGAGAGAAAGTTATCTCACTTTTCTATTTATTCATTTTTAGGAGTGTGATGAACAAATAAATTGTATTGTGTCCTCTCAAAGACTTTTTGTTTTTTACATGCCTAATTTGTATTTAATAATTCGAACCACCACTTAAAATCTTATTAGATTACTGTTGATAGAGATTTAATAATTCTAACAACCATATCAAACTTACTTTCCTCGAAAAATCGTCCTCTTCGAATTTTAAAGGAAAAGTTGGTGAGTTGTGTAATAAGCAACATTTCACGCGGTTGTGTGGCACTGGAGCCTGGCTCAGATGGAAGTGGCATCCCGTAAAATCATCAACAACTTTTAAGTCATTCATTTCATTAATTTTTATTAAAATTTTTGTAATGAGGAGGAGGTAATGGTGGTGGTGCGCGACCGTGATTCCCAATGTCAGCGCTGAAATTTGGGATGAACTGTGCGTGGTTTGCTGCATTCGAACTGGTATGCAATTGAACCTGATTTAAATAAATTTCTTGATGATATGGGACCATGAAACTACTCGCCTTGATGAGTATTAGGGGCATGTAATGGAGTATGACCGTCAGTGTTGAAGGGTTGGCCGGAATTGGTGTTGAAATCGTGCGTGAAGGCTTGATTTTGAGCCCGAGTTTTGTCTAATTTTGGAGGTGTTAAGTCCGATTTTTGGTATGGAATTGAAGAGTGGGATGATGACATGTTGACGGTGTGGAAATCCGATGGTTTGTTCGGCAACATACTGGATGAATTTGGAGTAGAAGGTGCTAGTGTAGTGGATGAATATGGTTGCAATTCCCACTTGCCAAGAAAACAAAAAACCTGCAGAACCATGGGAAAACCAATTCCAGGATTTTGAGGAAAAGAAGGTCACGTGCTGGGAATTGAGAAATTGTTTTGCTTGGAAAATATATCCTATCAAACAGTCAAAAAGTTGGAAAATGGTGGGAGGTTTTCCATCTTCCATGGAATTTAAGGCCTATAAAACAGGGCCTTATACTACTACTGTTGAAAGCCTGATTCAGATTGAAATGGGCTATGGTAGCCATGGGCTTTGCCCATATGTATTCTAGTTGAGCCCAAATTTATTGCGGACCCTTTTAGCTTAGCCGGATAAGATAATCACAGCCCAAATACTATTCTAATTTCTAGAGGTTAATTTAGTTTAATTTCTGTTTGTAATTTGTCAATAATCATAAAAATGTGCTCGGTTCATCTTATCAAACACATTATTTTTTGGAGCAATTCATATCCTTGAATATATGCTTCAGACCAATGTAGAAGTTGTTAAAAAAAAGAAAAAAAAATCAATTTGTACAATCATTAGAGTGTTGTAATTTTTACAACACTCTTACAGTACTCTAATGATTGTACATGTAGAGCATTGTTGAAAAAAAAGTTAAAATTTTATTTAGTATGATATCAAGTACTACACCCAAGCACATCCTTGAAGTTTGGATTTGACGCTTTCCTCTTGCAAATATTTTTTGATTCTGGTCTATTAATCCAATGTGGGTCAATTGAACTTCTCAATAAATAGCCATATAATAACTAAAGTTTCTTCGTTTGCAAATAATTCCTAAAAAATGTTCATGGTCGACCAATTCTAGCAAGCTGGAACCAACGTCTGTGTGTCAATTACAGTTTGTGCATCAAAGCACACCATCTTTGTTTCTCTATAAATAACTTATTCTCACAAGTTACATGTTACCGTATGTTGGGAAATAATTAGGAAATCTGGAACAATAAATAACTCC